ATTTCATTTTTGGGGAATGGGTAAATATATGTCGTTCAAATTTGAATTAATAAGTATTTAGTTAGCACGGAATCTGGGCACCTCGAGGCGGTGTAGTGGTTAACAAGTTTGTCTCGCTAGAACAATTACGACTGAGTAGTTAGTCCGATACTCACTGGGCACCTCTACTTTCGGTCTTGTGCCACATCTAAGCTACGTAATTTCTTCATAATCTGTCAAAATACAAGGATCTTGAAGTGAAAATCTAAAAAAATGTGGTACATAGGGTCATCAACAATTTCAGTGGTAGTTGTAGTCCGTAGACTGATTGGAATAGGTTCCAATAGACTAATTGAAGGGATTCCTGGAAGCACATACCTTAAAGAAATATAAAAAAAATGGACTCACAAGTACAGCTAACGCATTACGAAGAGCGTTATGAAGGTAAAATGTCTATGATCATAGGTTCTTGGGTTTTTTTTTTTTACAAAAATGATCAGGGAAAATTGTCATGAAGCCATTTCTGACCTTAGATCTCTTGTTGGGATCCGGCAGGAAATGTGCATGCAACGGAAATCAAAGGAGATAATAATAATAATAATAGTAATAATAATAATAATAATGGTGCCTCCTTATTGATATGGCAGTCCCTGCTGACTGCAATGTGTCTTTGAAGATATTCAAAAAGCTGTCAAAATACAAGGACATTGAAATAGAAATCTCGAAAATGTGGCATATGGGAACATTAACAATCCCTATTGTAGTTGGAGCCCTAGGACTGGGTGGAAAAGATTGCTGTAGACTAATTGAAGGGATTCCTGGAAGTCCATGCCTCAAAGAAATACAAAAATTGTTCTGACAAGTACAGCCCACACTTTACGAAGGGCTTTATCTATGTAATTTTTTTTTTTGTCAGTGGAAAGTGTCATGATGCCATTTCTAACCTTAGGTCTAAAGCGGGACCCGGAAAGAAATGTAAAACGCCAGAAATCAAAGAAAATAAAATAATAATAATAATAATATTAGTAATAATAATAAAGTACTACTACTATTTTCTGAAAATTTATATCAACTCATTATGCTGTGTGAATAGGAAACTGGAGATCATAGTTCGAATTCCAGCTGAGTTTGTTATATTCACTTACGCTAAAATACCTTTCAGGAAGGCATTGATCGATCTCTTCCCCACCTAGCTATGGATTAAATAGTAGAACATATATATGTAAAATTTATCTCCTAAACACGTTTTACTGCAATATACACTCGCAAAAGGAATGAATTATTCCGGCATTCAAAATATATATTGGTTTTAAATAATCCACGAAAGGGTTGATAAGTCGTAAAAAAATCAATCGATTATTATGTCGTGTGTGTGTGTGTTTGTGTGTGTAGAACATTCAGTGTTGCTTGACCATATCATCTCTGGATTCATTAATAGAATTGGCTCCCCAAAAGTGGAAATTACTTATGATTCAACGTAATGAATATTTGTATTTGAAATATACTTAAAAAAAAAAACAAAAAAAAAAAAAAAACACAAAATGCTTCGAACATTTGTTCCGAATGGTTTTAATTCCAAAATATTGGCGAATCCGCCTGCATCTTTGACGTATTCCAATTTCGTCCTTACGCGATGCGTTGTTGATGTTGTGCGGCAGCCATGCTGGTTATTTGTGCAGTCGACACTCCAAGGTCACTTGTGACGTAACAAAGGGCGATGATTGTCAAATCAAGGGAGGAGGGCGAATCGGTTGGCAGGAAAACCTGTTTAAAGATAATTGCCGGCCGACTGCTTTGATCTTGTCATAAGAATATTGATTTTCCTACCCAGCTACCCTTGTGAAAATTGCTATCTTTAACAAGCAACAGGACCTGTGGGAATTAATTTGGCTTGCACGTGTACGCATGCGTGCTGACACATGAAATAAATGAAAAGAAAAAATAACAGGCGGTAAAAGGGCAGAGGTGAAGAAGAAAAATGGGAAGGGCACAAAATGTCTTTAAAAATATAAGAGGATTGGTAAAAGATGCAAAGGTTATATATTGAAGGATGAAGACGGAGGTAAGAGGGAAAAAGGAAACGTTGAAGTTAAAAAGGTGTTTATGCAATATGAGTGAGTAAAAAAATAAAGAAATAAAACTGACGTAGACACATGGAGAAATATTATTATTATTATTATTATTATTATTATTATTATTATTATTATAATTATTATTATTATTATTATCATCATCATCATCATCATCATCATTCGATTTCTGCTATGGACACACTACCTACCAAGTCTGCGGAAAGACCTAAGGCAGGTCGTGGTGTGTTGTTATGGCCACATTTCATGTTAATTTTTTTTTTTTTTTTTTTATCTCCGATGAAGTTGCTAGCGTTACATAGACAAAGTTCTCCTTAGTGTGTGTGCTGTACTTAATAAGACAATTTTCTGTATGTCTCTTAAGCTGGGGTTTCAGGGATTCTTTCAATGTGTTGTTTTGTTCATTTTTTTATAATTCCAAGTGCACCTATTACCACTGGTATTATTCTTGTTTTCAATTTCACATTTTTCTATTTCAATTTCCAGGTCTTTGTATTTTGATAGTTTTTCAAATTCCTTGGTTGCTATGTTACAATCCGCTGGACAAGCCATATCAATTAGTAGGGTCTTTTTTTTCTTTCTGGTTTTTGACAATAATGTCCGGCCTATTTGCTTCAATTTTTCTGTCTGTGTGGATGGTATAATCCCATAGAATGGTGACATCTTCTATTTCTGTAACCGGCGCTGGCCGATGTTCATACCAGTGTTTTTACACATTTTCCAAAGTGTTTGCACATTGTCCAGTGTAAGTATTGCCCCACTCTATCGTGACGATTTTTATATTCATTTGGGGGCAAGTATAGAACATCCTGAGATTAGATGGTCTATTGTTTCTTGGTATTTGTCACAGAACCTGCATTTTGGATCCACATTATTATGTATGATATTTGCCTGAAAATTCCTAGTGAAAAGACTCTGGTCTTGCGCTGCAAGAATAAAGCCTTCAGTTTCAGACTTTAATCCAGATGCTCGTAACCATCGATGAGTATTAACTTTATCAACATTGGGTTTATTTGCACGTTCTGGATATTGGCCATGCAGAGGTTTGTCTTGCCAGCGTTGTTTCATCTGTTCAAGGGCTTTATCCTTGGCTTTCTTTTTCATATTTTTTGCTGCAATAGTTGGTTCTTGGCTTCTGTTTTGATTTACTACAGAATCTACTAAATGTAAATGTTGTTTGTATTTACTGCCTTCTTTTATTATTGAATTTTTTTTTCTTTTCTGTTTTCATGTTGTTTCACTAATTTTATCATCCAGTCATTTGTTGTTTCCCATGTGTTAGTAAGCCAATAGTTGTTGTCTTGTATGACAATTCTAGCTGAATAAGACCTTTTCCACCTTCTTTACGGGGTATGTATAGACGGTCTACATCAGCCTTTGGATGATGCATCTTATACTTAGAAAGAAGCTTTCTTGTTTTAGAATCCATTTGTCTGATGTCATTTAGAGTCCAGTTCAAGATGTTGAAACTATATTGGACCACTGGGATGGCTAGGTTATTAATGGCCATAATTCTGTTCTGAGAATTCAATTCAGTTTTTAATACTAACCCTAACCCTAACCCTAACCCTAACCCTAACCCTTCTATAGTACTCTTTACGCACTATTTCTTTCATTTTCTTATGGTGAATTCCTTCACTCTCATTTACACCTAGGTACTTATAAGCTTCTCCTTGTTCTAAATCTTTTATTGTTACAGCAGGGTCTAAACTAATAGAGGAAGTTTGTTATAGCGATCCTCGTAAAACTGTAGCTTTAGCACATTTATCCAAATTGAATTTCATTCCGATGTCTTCACTGAAGCATTTTTTACAGTTTGCAGAAGACCTTCCAGCTCATTGTCATTCCTAGCATACAATTTTAAGTCATCCATTTAAAATAGATGGTTTATTTTCTTTTGAGCTATTATTAACCGCATTCTGTCTTGTTAAGTTTTGGTTAATGCTATAAGTGATATGCAAAATAATAAAGGAGACAAAGAGTCACCTTGAAATATTCCTCTATTGATGTTTATTTCGCCAGACTTATAGGTTCCATTTTTTATGATTGAGGTAAAGTATAGTTTTCCATATCGACATACATTGTTTGATGAAATTGATGATAACGGGTGATAATTTTGTACATATATTTAAAGATTTTTAAGATCCAGGAATTTGGTACACTATCGAATGCTTTACGATAATCTATCCAGGCAATACTAAGATTTTTTTTTTTCACGGAAGCAGTTTTCCAGGATCATCCTATTAATAAGTAATTGGTCTTTACATCCGTAGCACATATTTGTTTGCACCCTTTTTTGTTCAATCTGGTAGTATGTCATTTCTTTCCAAGAAGAAATATGTCTGTTTTGTTAAAATAGATGTTAACAGTTTGTATGTTGTTGGAAGACATGTAATTGGTCTATAGTTTTTATTATTATTATTATTAATATTATTATTATTATTATTAATATTATTATTATTATTATTATTATTATTATTATTTTTTGGCTGCATCACATTAAAACACCGGTAGACAGATCTTCTTTTTTTTCTTCTTCGTCGTCGTCGTCTTCTTATTCTTTTGTCGTCGTCGTCTTCTTCTTCTTCATTTTCCTCTTCCTCCTCTTCCTCCTCATCTTCTTCTACTTCTTCTTCTTCTTCTTCTTCTTCGTCGTTGTCGTCGTCTTCATCTTCTTCTTCTTCGTCGTCGTCGTCGTCTTCATTTTCCTTCTCTTCTTCTTCTTCTTCTTCGTCGTCGTCGTCGTCTTCATTTTCCTTCTCTTCTTCTTCTTCTTCTTCTTCGTCGTCGTCGTCGTCTTCATCTTCTTCGTCTTCTTTTTCCTCCTCCCCCGTCGTCTTTTTTTTCGTCGTCGTCGTCGTCTTCTTCGTCTTCTTTTTCCTCTTCTTCCTCCTCCTCCTCTTCCTCTTCTTCTTCTTCTTGTTTTGTTTACAGCCACATCTCGTTTAAACATCGGTTCCCGTACGATTGCCGAAGTTAAGAAACATCAAGCCTGGTCAGTACCCAGATGGGTGACCACTTGGAAATACCAGGTGCTCTAAGCTTGGATTTGCGAGTAATGCAATAGATAATAGCACGGAATTGTTAATCGGAGAGCCGAGTTCGAATTCCAGTTGGGTTCATTATATTCATTTACACACAATATAGTACTGTACTATGTAAAATACAAAAGAAAATAATAATAATAATAATAATAATAATAATAATTAAAATACCTATCGAAATTTATCAGTTTTGCTATTTAAATTTCCTGGTGAATAACAATTCTTAAGTTAATAATTGAATCAACTCCTTGAGTTTTAAAACTACCAAATACCCGTTGAAATACCACTATCGCATCGTAGAATATTTGAGATTAACAACTCTAATAATGCGGGTCATTATTTAAAGAAGTAAGAGGGTACAAATAAAAATATTTGAAATTGACAAGTTTTCCATTTCACCGAAGCTGACGTTAAACACACGAGAGTCTTATCGCCTCCTTTATTTTCATCTCTCTCATTCTATTTTTCTTTCTTTCCTTTTCTCACTGTAAGCAAACAGTCTCTCTGATATGTCTTTTCCGTCTTTCTTCGCGATCAAAAACGGTCATTATGTATATGATAATGGAATGGAGTTGATTGGTTGGTTCAAAAGAATAATTTTAGTTGTATAGCCCTCATAACTTTTTTTTAATCTCTCAGTCCTTGGACAATGAGTTTGTTTCTTGGTAAACGTGGTCATACGACAAAGCCAACTCACCCGAATGAATATTTAATAGTATCATTTGCTGTCTCTGTAGTTAAGAGACAAACCTCGAAAGCCATTGACAGTTTCATTTCTAATGGCTGTTACATGTGGCCATAAAAGGTCTATAATGAGTATTTGCGTTTGGCAAAGAAAAGGTTCATAGAATTTTTTGGTGAAGATATTTTTACATAAAAGCACATTGGAGTAATGGTTAACGGCTAGAATTGAGGAATCGACAGAGTCGTGTTCGAATCCCACTCGAGTTATTGCATTCACAGACTCGCAAAATACAGTTGAGGGAGGTATGAATCAACCGCTTCTCCCCCCAGCTATGGGTTAATTAATAAGACTTGCATCACTAAACCATTATCATCTCCAAAACTAAAACTACGTACAAAATATTTCGATTTCAGCAAAAAGTAACCCATAAATAGATTTCAGCAAAAAGTAACCCATAAATAGATTTCAGCAATAAGTAACCCATAGAAATGTTGATATACCGCCAAACAAAACCAAACAATCAATTCATGAGCTGTGTCTCTTCAGGAAATGTCACTCTTCCAATTCTTTGCAACACGAACTAAGATTTCTTTTTAATCATTTTCCCACTACATTTTCCATCAGTTCACCTAAGCTTGTTAAGTAGGTGGCTCACTTCCCACCCCTGTCTCTTTGAAATGTCTTGTGAGCGTCAAATTTACCAAGCCGTCCTTCCTGATTATTTGCCCAAGAAATTTCATCTGTCTCTTTCTAATTTAGAGTATATCTCTTCTTTTTCCATTTGCCTTAAAACTTCGTTATTTAGACGCTAAGTTAATTTTCAGCATCCTTCAGCGGAACTAAGTTTTTGTTGCCTCCTGTCTCCTCTTCATCTGGGAGGAAATTGCCCAATATTCATTGCCATCTAGTAGGATTTATATTACAGAGAAGTTGAGCACTCTTTTCTTTCTTTCTCTTGAATCAAGTATCCTGTTCATCCGTGAAGTAATTTTCCATCATATATTGCCATATCGGAGGATTGATATTACATAGCTGTTCAGTACAGATTTTTTTTTGTTTCTCTTGCTTCAAGTCTCCTCTTCATCTGTGAGGAAATTGTCCAGCATTCACTGCCATATAAGATGATTGATATTACATTGCAGTTCAGCACTCTTTTCTTTGTTTCTCTTGCTTCAAGTCTCCTCTTCTTCTGTGAGGAAATTGTCCAGCATTCACTGCCATATAGGAGGATTAATATTACATAGCAGTTCAGCACTCTTTTCTTTGTGTCTCTTGCTTCAAGTCTCCTCTTCATCTGTGAGGAAATTGTCCAGCATTCACTGCCATATAAGATGATTGATATTACATTGCAGTTCAGCACTTTTTTCTTTGTTTCTCTTGCTTCAAGTAAAATTCTTCTTCTGTGAGGAATTGTCCAGCATTCACTGCCATATAAGAGGATTAATATTACATAGCAGTTCAGCACTCTTTTCTTTGTTTCTCTTGCTTCAAGTCTCCTCTTCATCTGGAAGGAAATTGTCCAGCATTCACTGCCATATAGGAGGATTGATATTACATAGCAGTTCAGCACTCTTTTCTTTATTTCTCTTGCTTCAAGTCTCCTCTTCATCTGTGAGGAAATTGTCCAGCATTCACTACCATATAGGAGGATTGATATTACATAGCAGTTCAGCACTGTTTTCTTTGTTTTTCTTGCTTCAAGTCTCTTCTTCATCTGTGAGGAAATTGTCCAGCATTCACTACCATATAGCAGGATTGATATTACATAGCAGTTCAGCACTCTTTTCTTTGTTTCTCTTGCTTCAAGTCTCCTCTTCTTCTGTGAGGAAATTGTTCAGCATTCACTGCCATATAGGAGGATTGATATCATTGTAGCGGTGAAAACGGCGAATTACCTTGTCAAACCAAGCGGTAGCGTATCGCATGTATTCTACGGTGGATAATGTGGCAAATGTTACTGAGAAAAAGGACGCATATACTGCATAATAAACCGAAGATGGAATATCCCAAATAGATACAAGACAGTTGCAGGTGTTGCTATAAATGCATCTCGGATATACTAATATTGTGTGTCCTCTCCCAGTTGTTGAGGAATAAATAATTGTTCCGTCGTTAGAAACAGTTGGTGTTCTCGAATTGGGAAGAAATTCGTTTATTTTACTACCGCGTTCGTTGGTTACTGTGTTATTTTTCTTGCTGTTTACGTGCATTGGAATTTGTGACGTAGAATCTGCGAATCGAGATTTCAGCATTTCTTTCTCTTCTTGTGATATGTCCCGGAAAGGAATATATTTGTTCGAAGTAGCTAAGTGGTTTTGGCTACTGTAACCGGGTAGAACAATCTAGCAGATAGCCGTAATGGACTGGTCCTCGTCGTAACGGTAGGCAACAGGCGTAGGCATTAGGCATAAACGATGCACCTTCATCCGTCTGTATTTATGGCTGATACCAGCCAATCATATTACTGTGAGGTGGAAGCCAGGTGTCTGCATATTCATTACATCATCTTGATATTCTATTCTGGGTGTGTGGTTTATTTTCTTTGTTGTGGAAGTAATCTGTGACAGTTTCTGAACAGGAATTTTAGTTCAAGCAAGATGAAACACACTAAAATTACATAGCGTTTCAACAAGCTTTTCTTTGTTATTTTTGTCGCAAATCTTCTTGTCATCTTCAAGGAAATAATTCCGTATTCACTGTCACAAGAGGATCGACATTGCATAGCAGTTGAGTAAGAATTCTTTGTTTTTAATAGTTTTTTGTGTGCTTTGTTTGGGGAAGCTTGTAAACATGTTATATATTTAATGTTTATATACGTACATTATGTATATATCAAAGCCAGGTCTGATAGTAGGCACAAGCTCCAACCGTCTATAATAATTTTCTCATGGCATTCTTAAATAATCTCTGACAAATAAGTCCAACTCCAAACCGGAGAAAGGACGGAGGAGGACTACTGGCGCCTCATAACCAGCCCCAACGAATAGATGGAGATCGTCAGTCCAGGATTGCAGTTCAATTAAGGGTAGGAACACTGATTTTAAACCTCCGCCTCTTTAAGGTCATATCCTAACAGAAAATCCCGATTGCAGCCCGGAAGGTTGTCTGCTTGTCAACAACGACAATTTTGCAGCAACTCCTGCATGTTCCAAATATATTGTTTTGCGTTCTTCTGAATGCTGTCGGTAGAGACGAGAGGGGACGAAGGGGTCTGGACATCATTACAAATTGCATAATTCCAATGAATTCCGTGGAGAGATTACTGGAATCTCACCACTAAAGGACTTAACTTTGACGAAACAGGACGCTACCTCTATCTCAAGAGATAAACGAATGCTTACTACAATTTCTAGCACTCGTTAGTACATGTGACTCAAAGAGAAAATAATGACATTATCAAAATGTTGACTTTCCAGATTAGCTCAAATGAAAGATTAGGAAGGAATCCCCCATCGGTGTTTGGAAAAGTGATATTAGCTACAGGATTTGACAAAAACTATTCTACTAAAAAATTGTTTCAATAGAAAGATTTTATATCACTTCAACCGAACCAATACTGGCTGCTCGGTCAATGAATGCCAAATGTTTCCTTAGAGGGAAACGGCTAATAGCAATACTGGAAAGAGCGATAACAGCTACTGACTGGACTTGATAAACTTATTTTCTTGAAAAATTGTTTTGAGAAAGATTTTATAAATTTCAGCAAAAAGCAGTACTGGCTGATCGGTCAATGAATGCCAAATGTTTTCTTATAGGGAAACGGCTAATGTCAATACTGGAAAGAGCGATAACAGCTACTGGACGTGATAAACCTATTTTCCTGAAAAATTGTTTTACGAGAAAGATTTTATAAATTTCAACCAATCGCAGTGTCTGCTTCTCGGACAATGTATGCCAAAATGTTTCCAAACGGCTAATGTCAGTACTGGAAAGAGCGATAACAGCTACTTTATGAGGAATTGTTTTCAGAGAAAGATTTTATAAATTGAATACGAAAACAGTACTAGCTGCTCGACAATGGCAAATGTTTCCTTATCTTCTTGCGGCTTCAGCCGAGATTGAACTCACCAATAGTGTAGTTCATAATCTTGTCAAATAGCTGAATTCTTGATCAAGGGTGCTTTTTTAGCATGACATGACTAAATGGATTTAGAGCAGGTTTTTGAATCAGAGTTTTCCTTCTCCTAAACCAGTTGCCATCCAAGGCTATAGAACCCAGTCTGTCCTGTTATTTACCCATAGCTGGAGGGAGAAGAAAGAGGATTCACACCTTTCCCAAGGGTATTAGCACGTAAGTGAATGTAATGG